CTAATTTATAAGAGTTTAACCAACAACATATCACAGCTGAAATACTATATGAAAAGTGCTGAAATATTAAAAAAACTTTTACTTACAGATAATTGTGAAGAAATTGAGAGAGTTGAAGCAGCACAAACAGGCTGTTTTTGATGTGGTGCTGCTGCCATCCTGACCTGCTGTCCAAATAACCATGTTGTCAACACCAAATTTTTAGTTAATTAGAAGCTGCATTTCATTAGTACTGACTATTTCAATATATTAAAACAAAATCTACCATAATTATTATCTTATATAAGCAATATAAAAATCATTGGCATAACATCCCATTTTAATGCTTTATATAATCTATTTTGTACATAAAATTAATGTTTAAATGGACAAATTCCACACTAACCCTACAAGTATGGTCTTGGCTCTTTTGCACATGTCACAACATTTTACAGTTACAATAAAAATTTAATTAAACAACTTTGTTAGCAATGTAAGTTAATAAAATTAGCTTCAAAATGTAGTTTATAACTCAAGCTTTTATATTATTTAAATTTTAAATTCTTAATTTCAAAAGAAAATATTTAAAAAAACTTCACTTTTATTAACAAGTCACATGACAAGCAAGCACTCTCAATTCTCCCCCTTTTTATTTTGTATAACATCAACTAAGATCACGCGAGTTTTAAAACTGCCTCGAAAGTGAAGGATAGATAGGCAGGTTTTCCGTAATGGGTTGGAATAATTTATTAATATCTCGGCAAATAGAGAAGTTAGGATGTTGAAACTGTACTTTTGACCTTGTCATTATTTTTACATTGTGTTACACTACATAGATAGTGTAGATGTTATCTTTTTTCTATTTTAAGCTTGCAGCTATCCATTAGAATTTATCTGAACTTAGCTACAACAGAAGTTAGACCAGAGGAAGTAATTGATGTATGCGTGTGTATGAGTAAGCAAAGTTCATGCTCATAACATTAAAAAAATGTCATAGCTATTTACAGATTAGTTAGAAAGCCAGTTAAATTATACCTGTTTTTGGATATTATGTATTATTTATGTTCTAAAATGTAAATTTGAATTTTACATTGTTTCAATAATGATCTTGTACAAAAACAAAGCTATAGGCCTAGTTCACTACATGACATGGTGCACAATGTCACAGCACAAAATATGTTAGTGTACAAGAATTTACTGTGTTCCCACTGTGATGTGTTAATTTTCAGGAAAGAATAAACTATATGACATACAAAACTATTAAATCATAAAATTACAATAAACTATCTGAAACTGTAAATATAGCAAATTAAAAACATCTCTGAAGATGATATGTATGACAAAGTAAGATATTTTCATTTTATTTCATAATTTCATTTTACTGTGCATTGATGATTTAGCTACAGTCAGTTTCTGCTAGGGCAGAGAAAATAACAGATAAAATATAAAATTTTACCTTAAAAACTTTTGATAATTATTTAGGAAGTTCTAGAGGCTATGCAAATGAAATTTTAACACGTGTCATATGAGCCGGGGGGGTGGGATCTTTCTTGTTGATCAAGAAATGCTAACCCATTGCAGTTTTTTTTTATTTTTGCTATAACCTAGAGATAATTCTTGTTGGCTGAAATGTGGCTGTTTGGCACTACTGTTACTTATTCAATGATCAGGTCAAGAAAAATGTGATAGGGAACAGTAAGTGAACTCTCATGGAGTGTTTAACATGCAAATGCAAGCATTCACATTGTGGAATATGCTTCAAATTCAGCCATTGTGGTTGTTCATGTGGTGGATTATCCCTTGCAGTAAAAATATCTCAAAAGTGTGTTGGGAAGCAGCCAATGAATCCTCTGGTAATTCAGAAATAGACAAGAGAAGTACATCGAATACCAACTACTTTGTGGAGGAATTTACTCTTGGTTGGGCATCATGTCTACCACACAGTAAAATTTATGGCCAAAAGTATATATAGATCTATTCAAGGATGATGTTGTTGAAATGTTTAAGAAAATTCTCGAAGATAAGCAGAATAAAATATACCCTCAGAAGAATGATTGAAGACCTGTGACCTACATATACTGATCGATTTGATATACCATCCAACACGGAGATTCATCAATGTATTACAGCCCTGATAGCAAAGTAAGAAAAACATGGTACCATTGACATTACTTCTTCCATGGGAAAACAGCAACCTCACAGAGACAAATTATGTTCACTATGTCTGAATCGAACTACACCATTACACCTTAAAGTGCAGTCTGCAAGCTCAAGGTGCAACATAAAGACGACATTTGCAATGACAATTTCCCAAGAGATGATCAACTGAAGACATTAGTTTCTTGAATTTAGTCACAGTAAAAGAATCAAATACCATCCCACAGTAATTGTATTACCATGCATATGTGCTGTACCATGCACATCCACTCAGAAACAAAGACTCATAACTTTGGGAATATCTATTCAATTTTTGATGAAAAAAAAAAGTTTTCCTTGGTTCAAGACACATCTCAATACATGATTTTTTAACAGTTTCCATATTAGAAAATTTTTGGTAACCAACAACCTTATAGTGATGTATTATAAATTCAAGAACAGAGGACATTATATTTCAAACAGATGTCAGTGTACCAATATTGAAGAATTAACTGGTAACATTAATATTTACTGTATTCTTTAAATACACTCATTGTACAAAATTAATTTGTTGGTTAGACAAAGGTTTAACTAAAAAGGATTAAATTTCTACAAGTCATTCTTTAATTCCCAAAAGTCTTATGACATTCAATACTGAATTGAACTACATTTTACCAACAGCATACTCTTGCAATGCAAATAATGAAAATATTTTGTTACCACTGGTTTAAATAATAGAAAGAGGTTCAGCAGTCAGGGAATTTTCCTAACCATTATCAAAATATGATACTTAGAATGATATTTTTTTTTTTATATTTAATTTCCTGTATATTTCATTCAAAATTTAACATCAGTTCCCATTAACCAGATAAGTAAATAACTATGTATGAAAAACTTTTGTGTTTCTTTTTTATCAATATATCTTTTTCAACTTTCTCTCTCACAATTAAGTAAAACTAAATACATCATCTAGAAATAAGATGTTACTACCACAAACATTTAGTTTTTAATTAATTATTCCTTATAACACCACCGAACAGAATATCTACAATAAAAGTACACTGCTAATACATATTCAGCACATCCATACAGTACAGCCCAGACTTAATGAAGAACTGTGACAGTATTTCAAACAGTTCCATAACAAACCTCACCTTCAACTGCAGTTTATGAAAGTAGGTCTAATACAATTTAAGTGTTAGCCTATAAGGCACGTGTAATATACTTATACATATTACACGCCTTAAATACTTAGGTAAGTGTAAGTTTTTACTCTATATATTTTAGATTGAAAATCAATAAAATTTATTTGAAAGTTAAAAATACACACCAAGAACTCATCTTTGGGTAAATCTGTGAAAATCATAAATTTTGTTCTTACTGCTTACTCAAATGAAAAAATATCCTCAGAGTTTCACTTTTCAAAAGCAATAATCAGTCCAATAATTTTGTTAAAACCAGATCTGGTTAAACCATTTTAGTCTAATTATAAGTATACAGAAACATTATCATATCAAATGTTGTAAATTATAGGGCAACAGACTTGAAAGTATGCAACATATAATAGTAATAATTTCCTGAAATGTCTCATGTCTTTCAAGGTACTTAAGTCAGAGCATACTAGTGTGCTCATTTAGGTTTCATTAATACAATATATTTGTTACATTTCCCAAAATAAAGTAACAATAATGTTTTCTTTAGTGCTACGTAACTGTAAAACACCTCCTAAACTGCCATGTAGGTTTATGATTCACTCATTTTATTTAGAAAGGAAAAAAAAGAATAGTAAATTTAGGTTTTTGGTTTACAGCTTTACTTTTTGAATAATTTTTTCGTTAAAATATGTGTTTATACCTGTTGAGCATTAGTTTGCCGAGATGCCATTTCCTGAGATATTGGAATGTTCCATGCATCTTCAATGCAAGGCAGCTGGTTGGGTCTACAAGATAAAAAAAATAGATTTTTGTTTGAAGTTTTAATATAATTTCAGTATACAATTCACATGAATTACTTCTGAAGAAATACTTATTTTATAAGCTTCTACTTAATCACCTCGTAAGCAATAAAATACATTTTTTTTTATTTACTAGTAATAATAACCAAAAGGTTTTGCATGTGACCCCTTAACATTTTTTTTCTGTTAAAATTTTAGATCAGAAAAAAAATTATAATTAAGCTTGAGAAAGCTTTAATCAATGAAAGAATCTACAAAAGAAACACAATAAGAAAGTAACAATTATCAATTTTTTTTCATTTACTCAAATCTCTGGTGAAAAGCCCAATAAAAATTCTCTACAATATTTTGTTACATATCATTATATTATTCAATCTACGTGACTTTTAACTTAATTTTTCCAGGATAGATATTCTTCATCTTAAATTGAAAATCAGGACTCTTTATGGTACCTTCCACACACCTATTGGGTTATTATCCGAACCTACTTTAAAAAGCTCTGATATTTAGTGAAATTTTATTTAAATTAGAATATAGCAGTGTTAGACCTCTGCTGAACTGGGATTGTGTGTATTTCAAAACAAATTTACAATTACAAAGTATGATCAATTTCAAATTATAAATATTTACATAAATAGTAATAATCCTAATAAACTTACAGCACCCATAAGTCAGTATTAAAGTAATCTAGAAACAAATATTTCAGATACTACTTGCATACGAATACTTAATGTCCCCATAATTATTCCTGATAATAATAAACAAAACTACTTACTTATGCAAGCCAGTTTGTGGAATATTAGCTAGCTGGGTTCGGAGAAACTGTATTCGTGCTATCAAATTGTGGTTGAGAGACCCTAAGAAAAGAATATATAACTGATATGTGAAAGACTGAATATATATCTAATTTCAAAATATATTTACTTTGGATAAGGCTATCAACCAAATGCTTATCCAACAAAATACCTTATTTCAAAATTTAATTGCATGAACATAAGAATTTCTGATGTACAAAACACTTAATACCTCTTCCTCTGCCAGCATTAACATAACACTTGAGAGCATCCTGAGGTTGGTTACAATTTTCATAGAGGATTCCCAGATTTGTCCAGGCTGGAGTGTGTTCTTTGTCCAATTGAACTGCACAGATGTAGGCCTGAAGAGCATCCATTGGCTGGTTCTGTTGTTGATAGAGCACCCTACAAAGTAAAAGGTAATAGATATAACAAGACAATAAGAAATAAAATATAGTATACTGATGTTCTTTAGCCAAACCTATTGGTGAAATTCCTGAAGACTACATGCTCTTAATATTGTGTAAAGGGGACACTCAACGTCATAATTGCTAGATGAACGTACTACGACCTACCAGGTTTGTTCAAAGCTTGCCATCTAAGGTGTTTACATACAAAAAGCCACACAAAAAATATACAACATACTGTTTCTCATTAAAGAAGTAATACATATATCACACTTTACTTGTGATTTTTATATACTGATCATTAATAAAACACAATAACTAATAGATAACCTGTTGAGCAATTTTGTATTCCTCAAAAATAAAATAAACTTCAACATATATTGAATGGATATTGTAAAAACATAAAGTAACCTTGTATTATTTAATGGAGCAAATTTTTCTGGGTTTGAAAAGTCCACACACTAAAAATATATCAGTTTTTATCTGAATAAAGTATTCAGGTCAGTTATCTATTACAACTTTTCTTACCCTATTGAGCACCAAGTATCAGCATTAGGTTCAGCTTTATCCACAGATTTCCGATACGAAAGAAAAGCATCATGAACCTTCCCAATACTGGCAAAGCACCGACCCAGAAAATACAAGCTCTGACCACATGATGAATCTGCCTCAATGGACTTCTGAAGACAATGTAAGGCATATGCTTGACGTTGAGGTTTTTCTCCAAGAGCTTCAACTGTATGATGCATCCAGCCTAACAAAATATTTTTTATCTCAGTAAGACAAAATTACCAAAAGAGGTTTAATAGTATCATGTATGTTTTATATATTTGTAGAATTTCACACAAAGCTATTCAAGAGCTATCTGTGCTAACCATCCCCAATTTTGAAATGACAGAGTAGAGGGAAGACAGCTAATCAACACCATCCACTCATGAGCTACTCTAATCAAATAGTGAAATTTGACTGTCACTCTTATAATGCATCCACAGTCTAAAAGTGCAGAGCGAGATTTTTTTCACAGTAACAGGGCAAGAACCATGAAACCTCAGATCCACAGTCCAGCATGCTAACCACTAGGCTGCACTTGGCCCAGTACCATGTAAATGAACAGTAACTAAGAAAAATAAAGATTATCATGTAGAATTTATATAAATAGAAGAATTAAAAATAATCTCAGCACACTCAAAACAGAAATGTATTACTTAAAAATTGAACCGTCAAACCTTATTTATTTCACATATTAATTTATGAAAACATTTAAAATTAATAGTTTTTCACTCACAAATGTTATAAACACAAGGATTTAAACACATTTTTAGGTTTTACAATGGGATGAAAAGTCACAAACCTAATTGTTTCCAAGTCTCAGCTCGAAGGTGTTGAGGAATATCCTTCTGTTCTAGTATTTTTTCATAGGCTTCTTTTGCAATTTTATATTTGCCCTATCAAATAGTAAAAAGTCAGCTATTAAAATATTTCATATATATATATATAGAAAAATCTTAAAATTGTACTCCCCCTTTAACAGTATGTTCATAAATTTGTACACTACAACTAAAAATTGTTTTGATCACTTACACTATACTAAGACTGTGTTCCATAAAACTACACCATTGTTTTTAAATAGCAGTTATAAATGAAATGCTCATGAATAAAATTACATATTTCAAACTACTATTCTAATACTAAAAAATGTTATGGCATAGGAACAACTTACAATAAGCTTAAAATTTTGAATATTCTCCAAATCTTTAGGTTCTTAATCATATCTAAACACAAAATGTAGAATAAAATATATCACAATAGTAAGCTCTTAGATGGTTAGAAACATTTTTATTAACTGGATATCAATACCAGTCTGCTAAGAAAATTTTTTAAGGTTGATTGATTTTAAGGATTTTGCAAATATTCTAAGGAAACATGTATGAGAACAACAGAAACCAATTTAATTTTGTTACATTTAGAATCTTTAAAACACAAACTGTCTTAAATGTCCACAGAGATTACCAAACAACTTGAAAATGTAGATTTGGATTTAATAAAAATTATTCTTATGATTATGTTTCTTTTTTTTTTAATAAAAAGTTCTATTAAAACTTTAATTAACTATTTCCTTCACAAACAGCTAACAAAGATTACTTCTGCAGTGATAAATAAAGGTGAAAGTTAAAAGACTTGTCAATTCTGAAGTGTGATACTTGCCTCTGTTTTATTGTTCACATAATTTTTAGGATTAACAGGTTAGGTAATGTTTCCAACCCAAGTCTAAAGTATGACCCCAAATGGGTTAGTAAACAAGTACCATAAACAAATAAGCTTAGGCATAAGTTTACAACATGACTGTTTTCATATAGATATCCGACTTTGTTTTTTGAAAGTTGAGAGCTTAAGCAACTTATATGGTTCTATCTCCCTTTATTTTATGATAATGTATACATGCAAATGTATAACAAATTTTCATTCTATTGTTATAACACTAGAGTTTGTGATAATTTGGAAAGGAATACAAGTGATTTAATATAGTTCAATAATTTGTATAGCTCCAATAATTCTTCAGGTCTTTATTTCTTGGTAAGTATATGAATCATATGTAGTGCATTATGTGCAACTAACATATAAAATAGCTTCAGATCTGATAAATTAAATAAAACTTTTAAGCATTTTGGAAAAAAAAAAACATTAACATAAAAATTCAGAAAGAAAGGCTGAAGTACATAATAAAAATATTTTAAAAATGCAAACAAATCAATAACTTAGCATGTGGCTAGATATTTAGTGAGATTATAGAAGATTGAGACCACTACTTCAAACTTTCCAGTTAAAAAGAAGAAATTCGTAAAGATGCAAATTGTTGCAGTAAACAAGGAAGCCAGGATCATCGTTATCCAAAATAATGAAAAAGTGCTACAGAATATACCTTTTATAAGCTACATGTGCAAAGTTATATGACAAAAACCACTCAAATTGAATGGAAAATCTTGCACACACCAGCACAAAGTCACATGAGCTATTGGTCCAACATTTTTACTATAGGATCATCTAAGAGTAAAAGTGGACCATTTTTAGTTTTTTATCATTCAGATTATAGATGGCTGATAAGGTGAAAGGACAAGCAGATACACAAGTATTGGTTAGAATTCAGCATGCAACTTAAAGAAATTAAATCAAAGTTAGCGACCAAACTGGTAGCTACACTTATAGCATTGATAAGAACTTTACAGCAAATATTCATTCATAAGTTAGCTAAGCCACGTATTTTATTTTACCCACCATCATGCCCAAAGTTGAACATTATGTTATTTTAGGCTAGGATTTGTCCTAAAAACAAGAATAACCCTTATTTAATCAAGAATGTTAAGAATTCTAGAAATAAATTAAGCTATGTAAAAATACATTAACAATAAAAGAATTGCAAATTTCAAAAGTTTTCATGAACTAAATAGTTTCTAAGTATTTGGTTATTCTCCTGATATTCAGATGCAATTTCTATTAGGTTTAATGATTAAGACTATTGTTAGAATACAGATAATACTGAGGCTTTTATAGTAATTTAAATTCATGTCAAGAGTTACAACATTAAAACAAAAGGTTTGAACATCACCAACAAATAAAAACAAGTTCTTATTTCTCAATACATTTATGAGTCATCTGCAATACTAAAATAATGTAACTGAAAGCACAGTAATCAATGCATCAGCTTTTGTAACCAAAAGTAATCAAATGTGCTTAGCAAAGCACAATCAGATTCCAATGGGCATTGGTGAAATAGATATATACATATATAAAAAGTTTCCTAAACTGCAAATTATTCTTATTTTTACTTGTGATTTAGGTTAGTATTTCAAATAACAAACAAAGACTTACCTGAATCTCGTATGAATGGGCAATATGAAAACTAACTGTAAGAAATAGATGAAAAGGAAATCTATAAATATTTTCTTTTCTTGCACATATATAAAAGAACAAATTTCATGTTTAAGGCATCTTTATGTTAGTTTTTTAAATCGACAAACACACCTAAAAACAAGATACTATTGGTATTAATAAAACAAGAATGCACATCACCCAGCATTCTACAGCCTAATGCTTTAAAATTACAACTAATTATATTACACTGGTAACAGTCTAACAAAATCTTTTTTTTTTTCAATTTAAAACAATGTGAAAAAATTTTAAAAATTAAAAAACATATTTCCTAATATAACCTTATAAAAATACAATACTGATATTTATTCAGATTAATATTTTTTACATATCCTATTTTCTCCAGCTTTACTAGACTGTAAAAAACTTTTGAGAGCTACTTATGTGACAAAAATATTTATATACTGAATTACTTGGGATAAACAGCACATGCTCATTTACAACTACTTTATATTTTTCTCCATATAAAATATTACAGCCATTGTAATTACAAAATTTAAGAGAATTCTCGCAAATCAGCAAATTTTAATATTACAAGAACACCTGTTAATAAATAATAACAGCAACTGCAACAATGGAAGAATGGTTAAACCAATCAATAAATTTTTCTAACTCATTGTTGTTTTGTCTAACATGAATCCAGGAAGTATCATAAATCATTAAGATAATTGTTCAGAACAGTGAATAAAACTATGAAATTACAAAGAAAACCATTAAATTGTGTCCTAACATATAACATATTTACAGACATCAGAATAATGCAGCTCACAAAATATAAATAATTATTTTTATTCACAAAATAAAATGTTGAGTTCATACTCATTTATTGTCAGTTATATATTCCTTATAACATTAAATAAATGGTCACTTGCTAAAATTAGCTAGAAAATGTGCCTGAAAAGATTTGTAGTCTTTGTCCATCTAATAAAACTTAAAACAAATCCTAAAAGATTTTAATGTGCAAAAAATATGAAATTATGAGCACTTACTTTCTGCTTTGGAAAATGTGCAGGGACTTGAATCAATATATGCTAACCGTAAATGCTGTATAAAAATGTTTATGCATTAAACCCAAATCTTAGCAAAGCACTGACGACAGTCTTAAAATGTTATTTTGTCTTAAAAATTTTAATTTCATTCACTTATGAGAATTAAATACCACAACTTTTTACTTGATAAGTACCCAATAATGTTATTATTTAAGATGAAAAAATAATAAACCCAAACATTATTTTACTTCACAATCTATTGAAATTTTTTAACAACAATTTTGCAAAAAAAACAACAACTATATTTTAGAGGATAAAAACAAATTTATTAGTCAACCATGAAATAATTCTTACCACTAAAGTTGAGGAGCAACTACATACAATATCAAATGAATAACATTTATGGAAATATTATTTTATAGCTTACACAAAAACATTTATAATGCCCACCTTTAAAGATGATTCATGATCAGCTATAACTTTAAACATTAACCCAAGTCTAAGGTGTATTTCATTTGCACGTATAAAACTTGGGTCAATGTACAGAACTTGTCGAAATGCTTTGATTGACCTATAAAAAAATTATACCATGAGAAACAACTCTCAGAAGCTTTCACTTATAAAACTTATAAACACGGTTCATCTTTAATAAAATGTTTATTGGACACAGAAATTCAGATTTTATCAATAAAAATGCAAGTTCCATATGTACTAAGTAATTATGTTTTTAAGAAGAAACATTACAGTTATGAGAAAAGCATCTTATTGATACAGCCACCAACACAAACAACAATAACACATACAAACATATGTTTCATATATTTACTGGTTCTAGGAAATCAGGGATACAATTCATTTTCATACAATATCAACAAACACAGATCAAACTTAGAAATAAATTAATGTACTTACTAGAAACTATTCAATATTGGTCTGATGTAAAGTGACTTAAGACCCAAAAGTATTTTAAGAGTATTAATAAACAGATATGATCTAAAAGCATTACCAAAATCTAACACAGAATGTATCTTCCACTGTTAGAATGTATAGTTTAATTGAAATTTAAGTAACTTTATTTAAAATGAATAAATATCAACCTGAATTTCTATCATTTATAAGAATTTATTAGAATAGGAGATTCTTTATGTAACACAATCAAAACTCACACAAGCAAATGCTACAAAACTGTAAAACCCAGAGTGGTGACTTTCTGATGTGACCACTATAGCATGACACTTTTAATATTTACTATATATTACAAACATAAAATTGTACTCAACAAATTAAGATATTAACACCAGTATTTAACAAATACTATGAAAAGGCAGCTTTTCTGTGAATAAAACTATGAGACAAGAATGATACATCTAACCTGAGAATTTTCAGCTGACTAAAAGCAAACACAATGCAATTTGTTTATTTTTCGCATTACATGCATTCATACAATCACTTATTAATTATTTTTATTTTCAGTACAACATTTTGCCTCCCTCCCCTACTTATACCCAGTCATCATTCCTTCCTGAACATTTCTAACTGATCCATCCTTTCATAATTCTGTCCATTCATACATTTGTAAACCAAATCTTCTAACTAATTACTCTTTAATCTACTTTTGTTGCCTATTAATACAAATACCGATCTATTCTACTTGTACACTGGAAAACTATTCTTGAAAGTCAATTCTATTGATTTCTTGAATAGTCTCATAAGTATAATGTTGATTATTTTCTTCATAACACAAGACTAATTACATTAATTTCTCTCCTTAACAAAGAAATTTTCTTTTTTAATTATTGTTTTCCTACATCAAACCATTATGTACACTATGAATGACTAACTGAATTCAAGTTATGTTCAAATGCATACATTAATTTCAATTTTTTTCTTAATTATCTGTGGAAAATTAATTTTAATTTAAATGTTATTTTTAAAAATTAGCACTATCTTTTGTTATATTTATTTGAAATTTTTTCTTCCTTCAAAAAACCATTATAAACACTAAAAGAATTACTGAAATTAGACTTGTGTAATAAATTATGCCTTCCAAAATCAAAACATACTAGAAAAATCTACTGAAAAATGGTCATGACTCCTGATTGAAAAAAAAAAACATATTTTATAAATATTTGCAATCAAAACCCCAAGTCTAACATTATTTTACAATTACTGCTGCATGCATAGATCAATGGTGTTTAATTTTTTGATTTTTCTAAAGTTAAAGTTTTATACAATTTGCAATTGCTCAACTATACAAATTTGTCACTCTATTTAAATATATATTTTCTATTATCATACAATATCTTCAAACAATAAAATTATAAGGATGAAATTAAGTATTAATCACCAAATGTGTAAAAAAAAATATTACTTCTACATATACATGCAGTGTTCTGTTATACTTTTTATAAAATCTCTCAATGGCACTTGGATCCAGATGTCATTTTCTAAATGTTCTAAGAAAAAAATTACAATCAATATAACTTGCGAGCTTTGCACCTAAGCTTTAAAATTAAAGTTGTTGTTTTTTCATCTTCACAGAATGAATAACTACTTTTTATTTTATAAGATTCAGCAAAGTCACGGATATCTTACGAATATAATAAAAAATACTTGTATTACTACTGCTACTTAGCCGGTTCTAATTAGTAAACTTCGGCTACTATCGTAAATTAGAATCATGTACAAAACATATAACTTAAATATCACCTAGTAGAGCACCAGTAATATCTAAAACAATGTCTAAAATAATATATTTTCTTTAACGGCAAATAAGTTAAATACATATAAAATCTGATACTTGGCAATCTTATTTACTGGATTTGGGAGTATTTATTCATTATTTCTAACTTATAATGAAAAAAAACTAAAATAATTACCTATTACTATAACCTCTCACTCGGTGCTGGAATACTGAGTATTTTGCTTGAAATCTTGAATTGAACACTCACACGTTTAGTCTAAAAGCTATCATGAGACTAACTACTGTGCATTTCCTACACCTCCTATATAAGTTAAGGTTCGCGGAACTACTAGCTTGGTCTTTAAGACAGTTGAACAGAACCGTCAACAGTAACGTTGTTTCTCAATCATCAGCGCATAGAGATAAAAGCCAGAAAACTTTACAGCTAGTAATCAACTTTTTGGATGTGGAATTCTACTCAGCCTAGACTAGCCGTTGGCATTAAGACTGTGAAATTGGTCAGGATGACGTTGACTGTCACCGTTACTAATGGGTAATTAAAGGATAAAACCTGACAACCTATTATAATGTCTAAACCTGACGAGTTCACGGTGGGGTGGGGAGTGTCATTGATCACTGGGACGACAGTATAACGACACCAATTAGGAAAACTTTTAACTTCAATCCCCGACGATCATAAAACAATTATTTCGGGAACCACAGCTAAGAGTTCTCACAATCGATTCGTAACAACCAAAAAGCCATAAAATATTCACAAAGAAACAATACATAACAATCAATAAAGCCTCACGAATACAGTAGATGGCCTGATAACAGACCACCCAAACCGAACAAAACGGATTTAAAGGCTATAAATACCAAATATATCAGTAGATTCTAACTTTTAACGGCTGCAGGATAACTAAGAACTTTAATATGTAAAGCAAATTAAGCACAAAAAAGCTACCCCTCTAAAGAAACATGTCTTCATCTGCATGACAATCTTTCTAAAATTAACATCAATATGTTTCAAGATTAAACCTAATAACTGAAAAAACGTATCTTCTGTGATTCGTCAAGCAGCTGAGCTACTGAACATACCTCTGGTAACAATCTACAAACTTTTAATATTGCTGCTACATCATGAAGTAATGGCTAAAAACATTTGATGGGACAATGCTAAGTTGTCATACGTAAGCAAGTTTTTTTCAAGACCAGGCCAATCTTCTTTACCCATGATGAGAGTATTCTATGATTAGTTTATAATTATGTCTGGTTGCCTGGTGAAAACGAACTAATAAATTATTTAGCCTTTTAAATCTATCTGGGCATACCGTTTATACTTGTTTTTTGTTCGAAAATTGTCTGGTCACTCTGTTCCAAAGGTTCGTAAAAATCATTTTGCTTTACAAAAACATTGTTACGCTATCAGTTGCGTGTGCGTGTGAATCTCGTAAAAGCATTTCTCTTAATACTGACATGAAT